TCAAGTAGTACCCAAAGGTTTTAATGTCTACTCTCAATTTCTGTGCCTGACTCACTGATGACTGGGAGATCTGGGCACCCACAGTGCCCTAGCCACACTTTGAATTGCATTGTCTAGAGTTTGTTGCTTAGGATCATACTCACGATCTCATACTTGCCAGGCAGGTGCTTGTACCCCTGAGCTATATCCCCAGCTGTAGTTGCTAGATCTTTAGTCATCCTAATTACTCTTCTCTAGAATTGTACCCCTTAAAACACGGCCCTTAGGAAGAGCCCAATGTTCCCAATGTATTGGCTAGTGAGAGTATATTAACCTCTGACCTTCCAGATTTTGAGTTCCCTGCTCTTGTCTGTGTCTATTCTATTTTGTACATCTTATAGTTCATTTTTACAGTTAAGATCATTATATTTTACTTTATGAAATGTCAGCCTATGAACTCATAATCTTTCTTTTATCTTGAGATATTTATACATCTCAATAAAGATTTAGTATCCCTTATCTAAAATCCTGTGGACTGGAAGTGTTTGGATTTTAGATCCTTTTCGCATTCTGGAATACTGCTATAGGCATAATAAGTCATCTTAAAGATAAGAACCTAACTGTGGTATTTATTCTATTTTCATATATACTGTCTTGATTATTTTTTTCTTATTGCTGGGACAAAATACCTGATAGCCAAAATGAAGGAAAGATTTATTTAACTCACTGTTTGTGGAAGTTTCAGTCCATAGTCAGCTGGCTCTAAGGCAGGGTAGCATGGCACCGGTGCAACACTTCAGGGCAGCAGCCAGCAGAAGCAGCAGAAGCAAAAGGATAAGGCACACCTCATTCCTTCTCTTATATGGTATGCCAGCTACCTGCCCCTGGGTAGGTGCAGCACTCACACCGCCAATCCCAATGCCAGACAATGAACCAATCATAAATGATAGATTCAGCCACCTCCATGCCTGCATGAGGCTTTGGGGGACATTTAAACAAACCACAACATACAGCTTCTATACATTGTTTACAGATACATTGTGCAATAGTTTTAGTAATTTTGTGTGTGAAACAAAGTTTGTTTTGTCACATTGGCCCTCAAAGGTTTCAGACTAGATTATTCCAGATTTTGGACTTTTGGATTACGGATGTTCACTCTGTATTGATATTCACTAATAGTGATAATGAGTCTTCTTGTTTTGGTTTTTGAAACAGTGTCTCACTAAATTCCATGGGCTAGCCTCAAGTGTAGAATCCTCCTGCCTTAGCTCCCTGAGTAGAAGGGGTTACAGGTATGTGTTACTGTGCCCTGCTGATAAGTAACTCTATCGCTTTATGGCTTAGATGGCATTTTTACATATAATCTCATTTGGTGCTGTTGGCAAACCATGTTAGTTGTTCATTGTCTTCATTTTTATTTTACAATTGAGAAAGCTGAGTCTCAAAATGAGTACCTAGATCAAGATCTCTTAGTGATTAACTTTGTGCCATCTTTACATTTTAAAGCGTGAGTTCTGGCTCATTGAAGTTTGTCTTAAATGGCCATAACTTTGAAGCTTGCCTGCAGAGATCTTTTCATCAGTTGCCTTCAAAGTCATTGGAACTCATTCTTTGGTTGATTTGTTCAATTGTTAACTGACAAGACTCTGGTCACATCAAGCACAATTGAGCATCCTGGCTGCAACATTATCACGAGGATCTTTTGTCCACTGTCTGCAGAATTCTAATGTTCTAGGTCCATAATTTGTCCGTGGTTTAGCATTGGAATTGTAAGGTTAGTTTGGGGTGTCTTTTCTTAATAAATACATCTGATTAACTCCATTTTACATCTCTAAATAATAAAAAATTGTTTGTAACCTCTAAATCATAACCAAACAGATAAACCTGATAATTTTTTTAGCAATAAGTATACTTTTGCCAATACTCTTGGAGAGCCTGCTTTGGGCTTGTTATTTTGTTCAGTCCCAAATGTATAAAAGAACCTTAACTCTAGTACAGTATGTTTTGCATAATTAACGTCATGGGCCTTTTGTGCATTTTTGATAGGTCATAAACAACATGGTTAACAAGATGAAACAGACTAACCAAGACTACAGATAGAGTACCTAGAATGCTTAAATAAGAAGTTATATTGATTTTGAGTTTTGTTTTAGATTATGGAATAGTTGCATAGACACAGTGAGATATCTTGAGAATGGGATCCAAGTTTAAATTTGAAGTTCATTTATATTTCATATACACCTGAAGGTAATTTTATACAGTACTTTAAGATTACCTGCAGTTTACTATGTATCACATGAAGTAGAGCTGTGAAATTTTCGACTTGTATCATCATATTGGCACTCAAAATTTTGGATTTGGGGACATTTAAAATTTCAGATTTTTGGATTGGAGATTCAAAAACTTCCATGCAATATCAGAATACCAGCAATCAGGGATACTTATAACATGATTTTTTTTGTTTTGGCATAACATGTAGACATTCCCTGACTTGTTATAGAAAATGTATGTTGTATCATATGTCACTACTGGTCTTTGAAAGTTCCTGCACTAATGGAAAAAAACAGGCACAGAACAATTGATACTTGAGAATATACTATGATGTAATTGTACTGTATGCCAAGAGCTTGAACGGAAAGGGGTGGATTTTTTTGTTTTTTTCTTTGTTTTGTTTTTATTTTTTATTGCTTTTAGTTTTTGTTTGCTTTGGTACAAATGACCTAAATATTTCAGCATTTCCCTGAAGTATGTGGCTACTTTTCCAGGAGTTACCACTTTTTCACATGCCTCAGTAGGATTGTAAACATTTTCCTGTTGAACAAAACTACTGTAGTAAGCTCTTCAATCCCAGCGAACAAGGATGGCATTATATCCCCAATCCACAGAGCCCAGCTTGGCATCTTTTCTTAACCAAAATCAAGGAGTCTTTATCCAGCTAGCGTGTGGTTTGCTAGCATTGGTAACCAGGTTTGAAAGGGTAGTTGAAACCAGCAGTTAAATATTATAGTTTGTCTTCTTAAATATTTCTTTTAAATGTGTATTTTCTTTACAAGTGGATCCTACTTTTGCCTTTTCTAAAACTGTTTTCTAAATGGTCTTTTTTCAGAAGGATTACTTAATTTTGACTATTTCTTACTAGCTTCCTGGAATGTGATATTAAAATCCAACAAGTCTACCTTCCTTTGTTATGGTTCCTTGTATTCAAACAGCCCTCATATATTGGTTTCTGTGATATCAATCACAGGAAAAAAAAGAAGCAGAAAATACCACAAAGAAAGTGTATTTTGATTCCTCATTCCACTGTCCTGCCTTTTTTCCTATGTGTACAATTTTAGTTTTTAAAATCTTTCATCAGACTTTTATACCATTTTTTCAAAAAATCAAAGCTAAATTCCCTCTTGATGATATCAAAGCTGTGGAATTCTTATTAGTACTTTGGCTTTGTACTTTCTTATACTTAAATGTACATATTTAGTTCAATCCAGACAGAATCTAGTTTTTGAAGAAATAAAAAATAAACAATACTGATTGCATCGGTTTACTTTATCTTAAAAATAGAATATATTGCAAGGTAAGGGCAGTTAAGGTGAATGTTAGATGTATAAAACAATAGATAAATGAACAAATGTTGAAAAATAAATACAATGAAGGATTGCTAACTACATTATCTTATTTAATCCCTTCAGCAAACCTATGAGACAGTTTATTTTTACTCTCATTTTATATGCAATGGAAACTCCTTTAGAGAGGTGCTTAGAAACAGTGGCACGGCTCTCACCTGACACCACCAGCCCTTGGAACCAGCCCTACACCTGGATATCAAAGTCAGATGAAAGTATATTCCATTAACAAAAAAAATCATGCAGTTAATATGAGTTTGGCAGTAGGGATGATATACATATGAACAAAACAGAGACACATAGGCTCTGCTCTTGGAAACTTTCAAACTGAAGGCTTCTAAACTGAGAAGTTACAGGGTCATATTTGGGTAGCGCTAGAGAAAGCTACTTAGATGGGGAAAATCTAAAGAGAAAGATTCTAGCCAGGTTTTTACTGTAATAAATCCAAAAAGAGCTGGTGAAGGCCTAGACTAAAAGAATGAGAGTGAAGATACAATAAGGGAACAAATTTGAAGGTCATCTTCACATAGGGTCTCAGTGATATGCGTGATGAGGAGGGGCCAGCATTTTAGTTCTTTCTGGAAGCGTATTTTATGCCATAATTCAAGGTTTGTGCTAGGCCTAAGAGACAAACAAGAATAAAAAGACCATCTCTGACTTCAGGCAATATTCTAGTCTCTTTAAGAGGAGAAATTCAAGCAGAAACCAGACAAGTGAAGTCAATGTGCAAGATACAGAACACAAGATGTAGAACACGGGGGTGGACCATGGGCACGTGGATGTGTGTGTCCTGCCAAGACACTGATGAAACACAGAGAGTCCGGTCTGGCAGAGCAGCTGGATTGCACTGTGAAAATACAGTCTCTAAACTGAATCCCAAATTTCTGCATGAAGGAATTCAATAGATGATTTTGCTGTTACTGTATACAGGGACTGCACCGTGAGTATCAGCTTAGTGTTAGCTTTGAGATAAACTGGCCTTGAAATTCAAAAGGGAAAAGATGAAATATTGATCCTACTTCTCAACGAAGAGTTTTGGAGAAGAATTGAGCACTTTTTATGGCAGAGCGGAGGTATTTTTTGTGAAAAAGAGAACTGCAGGTGTTTTATATTTTGACTGTCTAGTCGGATGGTAATTACATCCTCATTGTAATCATTCAGGGAAAGCTTAGGAAGAATTTTTAAAATTCTGTGAAAATGGGAAGAAAGAGAGCTTAGCAAGTTGAGAAGAAGGCTTCTGTCCCTGGGGAGAAAGAGGACTTGCAGACAAGAAAAGGTAGAGGGGGAACCAGGCAGGGGTACCCAGAAACCCCATAAGTGGAAACACAGAGAGGAATGGAAGTCGAAGCCAACCCTGCCCGGGTCACCTTGACAATGAGTATCTTCCTTTCTGTTTTGCAGGGTGACGACTCAGATGAGGAAGCTCTTTGTATCAGCAACAAATGGACTTTCCAAAGAACCAGCCGCAGGTGGTCTCGTGTGGACGACCTGCACACGCTGTTCCCTGGGGGAGACAGAAATGGGTCACCGGGAGGACCTAGGATGAGAAACACCACCAGCAGTGAGAGCGTCCTCACAGACCTGAGTGAGCCTGAGGTCTGCTCCATTCACAGCGAGAGCAGTGGTGGCAGCGACGGCCGGAGCCAGTCTGGCCAGTACTGTGCCGACAGCCCGGTCATGCTGGAGCCCACTCTAGTTGGCAGCAGCCTCCCACAGAACCCCCGGGACCTTCTCCAGCCTAAGCATGAGAAACACACCAGGACCAGGGCCAAATCGTTCTTGAAACGCATGGAAACGCTCCGAGCCAAGGGAGCACACGGAAGACACAAGGGGCCAGGGCGAACAGGTGGTGTGGTGATCAGCGGACCTGTTTTGCAACAGGAGCCAGAGTCCTTTAAGGCCATGCAGTGCATCCAAATACCAAACGGAGATCTTCAGAACTCATCCGCAGCTGCCTGCAGAAAGGGGCTTCCATCCAGCAAATCCAGTGGTGAGAGCAGCCCTTCCGAGAACAGCAGCAGCGGACTGAGCACTCCATGCCTAAAGGAGCAGAAGTGCCACTATGAGGCCAGCAAGCGCGGGGGCATGTACCTGGAGGACCTGGATGTGCTGGCAGGGCCAGCACTACGGGCTACAGGAGACCAAAACCACACACATGGGTTTCACTCCCAGGAAAACTTGGTTGTGCACATTCCCAAGGATCACAAACCAGGAACGTTTCCCAAGGCACTGTCTATCGAAAGCCTCTCACCCACTGACAACAGCAATGGGGTTAACTGGAGGACTGGGAGCATCTCGCTGGGCAGACAGCAGAGCCCTGGCACAGGGAACCCTGGCCTCATGGAATCCTGTCACAGAGCAAGCCGAGTCAGTATCTATGACAACGTTCCCGGCTCCCACCTGTATGCCAGCACGGGAGACCTGTTGGACTTGGAGAAGGATGACCTCTTCCCTCACCTCGATGACATTCTGCAGCATGTCAATGGGCTCCAAGAGGTGGTGGATGACTGGTCAAAGAATGTCTTACCTGAACTACAATCTCATGACACATTGGCTGGGGAACGCGGTTTGCCCCCCTTCTCATCTCCTAATCTGATCACCTTAGATTTTGAAGGTCACTCTGTGTCAGAAGGTCAGACGACACCCAGCGATGTGGAAAGAGATGGAACATCTCTGAATGACTCTGAGGCCCTAGGGGTCAGGGAAAGGAGGGATTCTGGTGTGGGGGCCTCTCTGACCAGGCCGAACAGGTGGGTAGAACGATTTGTAAAAGGATGTTTCATCCATTTGCTAGCAATTATGCAGTTTATTTCCTTAACCAGCATGGATAGGATATTCACTGAATGAGTGACATTATCCAAAAAGATACCTATGGTTTTGAATTATTCAAAGTTTGTCTTTCGTGCAGATGTGGTAATTATATCCATGTCAATACACATTCATATCTAAGTGTTTACTCTTCATTTTGATCTTAATTTTATTCAAAAAATTTTTGAATCCCTCCTATGCAAAGCCCAATGACAGGTACTATACATAGGGAATCATGGATAACTGAGACACAGTTCCCGTGCCCGGGCTGCTCCCATGCCACCAAAACATATCAATTAAAATGGCTCTGCTTCCAGTTTTGAACTTTTTTTTTAATGCCATGAGAAATATGAAATCTAAGGTGTGTGCTTTGTAAGCTGTTTTTTGCTTTAAGATACTGATTATAAACCATCTAAAAACTGATTTACAGAGAGCCCTTCAGAAGCGTATTAGAAAACAGCTGTGGGAGGCCTCCTGGGGGACTCAGTGGTGTCTCTTCAGGCTCCATCTCAACCACCAATGAGAGCTGGAGCATGAAGGCATGAAAGGAAGCGTAAAATGCATTGCACCCCCAGTGTTGGAGGTCTCTCTCTGTCTCTGTCTCTCTCTGTCTCCCATGTCTGTCCATATCTCTTTATCTCTCTTTTCTCTCTCTCTATCCACATCTCTCTCTCCTCTCTGTCACTTTGTCACTGTCTGTCTCTCTCCTCTGTCTCTCCTTTTTCTTCATCTCTCTGTCTGTCTCTGCCTCTCTCCGTTTCCCACACACACACATACACACTGTCTCAGCTGCTATTAACACTTTGGTAAAAAGTCTGAGAATAAACAAATTAATTTATCATTTATTTAAACCCCATAATGAAAGAGATTATTTCTACTAGATTTATCCAACTTCAAAAAACTCATTTCTTATGTGCATTTTGTGTATTTATGTCATCAGTCAGTCATTTTGTGGTTTTCTTGGCTCAGAAAGTTTTGATGAGCCACGCACACCCACGGGGTATCCTCTGTTTCCCAGTAACAAACCCACTTGGTGACTGGCTTCTCTGACCCTCTTCCTGCTCCAGGCGGCTGCGATGGAACAGCTTCCAGCTCTCGCACCAGCCTCGGCCGTCCCCAGCCTCGCCCCACATCAGCAGCCAGACCGCCAGCCAGCTGAGCCTGCTCCAGCGATTCTCGCTGCTGCGCCTCACGGCCATCATGGAGAAGTACTCCATGCCCAACAAGCACGGCTGGACGTGGTGCGTAGCACTTTTACAGGGACTGCGTGTCCACTTTTACAGGGACTGTGTGTGCACTTGCAGATGTTTCAGTGTTTACATTCTGGTGTCTAAAGAACCTGCCCTTTGCCGACGCTCTGTTCTGGGGAACTCACATACCAAGTGAGTCCAGCCTCCTGTCTGCCTTCTGGGCTGCCCAGCTCCAGTGCAATGCAGCTTGCAAGCCCCATTGCTTTATTTGTATCCCTCAGTTGGTTTCCAGGGAAGTCAGTCAGGCTCCAAGACAGAAAAAGAGACAAGTAAAGGGAAACAAATTGTGAACAGAGGAATTAAAAATAAACTTGCCATAAAATAATCCTGGCAGTTTGCAGACAAACATCTGTCTCTTGTCTTTTTTGCCCAAAGTGGAACTTATGACTTAAAGCACTGATTTTTTTCAAAGAACATTTAGTTTCTCAAATATTTTTCTGCTTCTGTTTCATTGGAAAATAAAAAGTAGGCTACTCAATAAATCTTTGAAATTCAGGAATTGACAAAAGCACAGATCAAACTGGTGCAAGGTCCTACTGTAGATGTTTTGGTAAAAATAAAAAATATAAAATGTCAGTAATTGTCATATATTTTATATATAAAAAGAATTTTATAAAAGTATTTTAAAAGGTTTTGAAATGCATAATCATGTGTATTAAAACTCCCTTTAAAAATGTATAACCAGTTCTAGAAAACAAGAAATGTGATTGTCTTTTCCCCTCACCTTTCTCCTCCAAACCCAACCAGATTTCTTCTTCCTCTTCTAATTTTTACATATATTTTATTTTGTTCTCTTGGTAATTTTTAAGTATCCAACATTTGAGGAATGTATCAGTCGTAATTAAATTGGAGGGTTATTCACTTGAAAACAGAGCTACAAATACATTCTGCTAACACGAATCATGCTGTTTAGTAGAAGTTATGTATAAGCAGAGACCACACACAGGAGTGCTATGCAGTGTGATTAATGCAGAGAGGTTGAATTCTCCCTGTGAATGTGGAGTTTTCCAAGAAGCGCTTGGTTTCCCTCTGACTTGCTTCCATGGCCTCTCTTTGCACTGTACCCCAGGGACCTTGCATGACCTGGTTTCTGTGAATTCTAGGTCAGTGCCAAAGTTTATGAAGAGGATGAAAGTTCCTGATTACAAAGACAAGGCTGTTTTTGGTGTTCCTCTCATAGTCCATGTCCAGAGATCAGGACAACCTCTGCCTCAAAGTATTCAACAAGCACTGATCTACCTACGTAGCAACTGCCTCGATCAGGTAAGGCGGGCTCAGGGTGATGAAATGCCAGACAGAGTCAATCTGAGCAGTACCGGGTAGAGTATCCTTCACTGACAACAAAAAGCATCATGCTCTGTGTATGTGAAATCTTAATTTCACCAGGGTATATCCTTGTCCAGATATTTGAGGATGTTTCCTCGTAGACTACTTGAGCCACACCCTAGAATGACTGCTAAAAGTTAATATTAATAGTTTGGATGTAATCTTCAATCTGTGTCCCCTAGAAATGGGATGTAAGCAGTTACTGCCTTTGCTTTTTAATTATTGTCCCAATGGTACTAATGAGTTTAAGCACTTTTATCCCTGTTACAGTATTGTTAGAAAAGAGTCACTTTCTATGTCTCTCCTTCTATCAATTTTTGAAGCATGACCAGCAAAATTTAAACCAAAGATGGATTGATTTACATGTTTTTAAAATACACACATAAAATAGGAACACAGTACCAGTTAAATCAAATGTCCCATTACCCAAGCAGTTTGTTATAAAGCTTTCACTAGACAACATTCAGAGATCATTTTCTACCTCCAGAACTGTCTGGGAACCACCATAATGGTGAACTGTGGTTATACCCAGAGAGAAATCCATCCTATAATTTACAAAACAAAGCTTTTCCTTCTCTAACACTCATTCCTGTAGTTTCCTAAACATTCTGTCCAAAAGGGAAGCCGTATTCCTGCTTCATCAATTGCAATCTGTAATAGAAGGATATTTTCAGGAAACTATTCTATAGTGATCTTTGTTCATAATGCTCTTTAATGGCATATGATGAATCTGCACCAACCTGAGATTATGTGCACTCTTTTATTGATTTATCTTTGGCCTTGGGTTCAGTATCCACGAATGAGCTAAACTACATGAACTAAAAGATACTGGCTTCTGATACCTGTAGAGACAGCAAAACCAAGAACTTAACTTAGAAGCAAGATGATATCTTAATGAATTAAGTACTAGTTTTCAGTGGAACAAAATAGGAGTAGCCACTTCACTGGAATCATCTTTGATTGAAATGAATTCATGAGCCCCTTTGACCATTTCAACGGCTCATCTAGAGAATATGCAAATATACACTTTTGCATAATAGCCAATCTAAGGCTGCTGTTCTCATGGTGATGATGGCTGTTTTGATTCTGAGAAGTACCTTTATAGCCTGCTTCTTATTTCCCAGAATGAAGGGCAGCGAACTATTTTAAAAGTGGAGTGCCTGTCTTTGGCACATGTCCCAATAATTGACTGGTAAGCAGCCTTCCAAAACAGCAAGCCAGGAAATGTGGTTATTTACACATAATATCTTTTAAAGTTTAGAGGTTCTAACCAAGAACACACATTAATCAGTGTTAATGTCCTATATCTTTCACTAAGAGAAAAAATTCAGAAAGGTGGACTTGGCGGCTACTTGGAGATACCTATTCTGGTTCTTTTATATTCCAAAAAGTATTTTATGCTCTTTGACATAAAATTCGGTGACTTCAATTATATTTTAATTGGTTTGTTGGTACAGAACCAAGATTGTGTTTTGTGGAAGATAGGCTTTGATTCAGATTAGAAATTTTTGAAAAGTTATGTACAGACATACCTCCCTTCTGAATTTTGTTTCTGCCTTTCACGAAGCATAAAGACTGTTTTTGACCAAAAGCATGACCAACTAATGCTTATCAGTAAAAATCCTATTAAGATAATATGGTGTATCTGATGGCATTGGCAGCTATTCAAAGATAACAAGATATATTATGATGACCATTTTTTATTTACTATTATCTTGTTTTGAAGTACTGTATTACATTCATTGCTTTGCTGGTGGTAATGGTGGTGGTGGTTCTATGCTGTTCTATTTTGTTTGATTTTTACTATGTCTGAGGATATTGACTGCTATTTTGAAGACAAGAGGCATTATGGTAGCCACTGTTGATTTCCTGTTATCTTGTTTTGAACTCCTGTGTCACACTATTTTGTTTTATTGGCTTTATTCTGATTTATTTTGCTTGGTTTCATTCCCTTTAAGATATAAAATTATTTTTAAAAAAAGAGAAAATGGTGTTTTTGTAGGACTGCCTAAAGCAAATGCAGTCTATGTACGCTATTAGTTTAGTAACAACCTTTCTCAACTGCCCACCGTGTTTGAGGCAAGTGCGCTAAGTGTTCCACTTTCATGGCTTTATTTAATTCTGTATCCATCCAGGGCATTCTTAACATTATTAACATTGGGTCTCTGATGGAGTTAACACTTGCTTATAAATCTGTGAATTGCGGAGTCTAAGTTTTGAATCACTGTCCTCCACTGCACTATTAGAATTACTTTTCCCTGGTAGCCTTTGGCACGATGCTGTCCCAGCACTAAGGGACACCTCAAGAGGTAGCCTGATACAGCTCATTGATGAATCCGCTGTCAGGATTTTGTTCATAATATTGTTCATTATGTCATGTAATGTTATTTTTGTGAGAGGGGAAGATTTTTTCCCTCTGGCTGCAGCATTTGAAAACACTGTTTCTTTGGATCACTAGTCTGTTTTTTACATTACAGACACAAAGCTCATTCAGGTGGAGATGTTTTCCTCTCTAAATTGGCTGCTAGAAAATCAAAGTCAAATGTGTATTCTGCCTGTAATAAATTTATGTAAGCTTTTTACATAATTTTGGCATCAACTTCATTCCTAGTCTCAGTTATACTTTTCTATCTTATTTTCTTCTTGCTATAATTTTCTATTATCTTTGATTCAATTTAGTTGCATCTTATTATATTTTATATATCATTGTAAGGCACCCTAGGTTCTGGTTGTATATAAATAATGAATTATAATATCACTATTGCATTCACTACCCAGTCTTTAGTGTTGAAGCCATTTGCACCCCATGTAGATTCTCAATAAAGTGCAGCACCAGTGTTACTGGACCCCAGTCATGAGGGCCCAGTGTCCTCCTGAAGCACAGGTTGTGGAGAGAGAAAGTCCTATGAATAGAAAGGAGAGCAGGTCTCAAACTCTGCTCAACATCTACTCGCCGGCTTATTCCCGCTGCCCACCTCAGGTTCTAGCTTTTTTTTTTTTTTAATCTGGAAGAATTCCATGCTGAAAACTGTAGGAGAAATCTTTTTAGGAAAAAGATTCATTTCAAAGATTGAAATGCCCATTCTAGATGTAATCACAGTGAATAAGGCAAGACCTCTGTTGTATCAGAAGCAAGGATGAATCTGTAGGATGTCAAAGGGGCTTTCACTGTGACCAGTTCCCACCTTAATCCTGGCATGGTTTTCTGCCTTATTAGACCTTTTCCTTCCTCATCACATAGTGAAGGATGCACACAAAGGCCACACACTGGTCCCGGTGGAAAAGGAAGGTGGTAATATGAAGGATTCAAGTGAAAAATAGAGAAGAAAAACACAAGAAAATCAGACACAGGTCAAAGGCGGTCCTACAGGTTTAAAACATGAAAGCTAACCAATCAGAAAAGAGGAAAGTGAGGATAAGGGGGAAGGAGAGGGACAACAGATGAATGCTCTTTGCCAATAGGACCTTGAGAATTTCGGAATTGAGAATTTTCAGGTCTGCATAGGGCCCTGAAATCTCCCCCAGAGTCACAGGAGACCAGACTGTCTCCACAGCCTTCCTCTAAGCTACACCTCGTGGAAACCACCATCTAAGGCTCTTCCAGAGGCTTTGACCTTGGTTTGGGGGAAGGAGGTTTCCAGCAGTGAGCCAGTCTCTTGCCCTGATGCTGAGCATTCATCTTAAACAGAGGACTCTTGAAAAATAATTGACTCCAGCCTCACAGAGCCTGAAACCGTGCCAGCATTTCAATCCACACGCACCAGTGCAGAGCCATTTATATATGGTGAAGCATAGTGTATCCATTTTCTGTAAGATGGCTATAGATAAAATGAAGTTTAGCCTTCTATTACAAACCATTTGTATTCAGACATTGCCCTGTGTGAAAGGAGTCTTGCTTTGTTGTCTGAGCTTTTATTTCTGCCCTAAATCAACTGTGCACAGAAGCATAGGTTATAACTGAGTCCTGGTAAATATGAAGTCCCTGCAGTGAGATACTAAGACTGCAGTGCTCAAAATCAGAACCTGCCACACACTCTTCTTATAAATCTGTTTCTGCATAAAGCCAACCTTTCTTCATTAGCTGAGCACGTTACTAAAGAAGAGGGAATGGAAGTCCTGATAAACATCATTAAGCCCTGAACGGATTAGCATAAACAGGATGCCAGGAGAAGATTTAATATTATTTAGATGAAATTTGAATTCTAATGCAGCACTCATGCCCAGCCACTCCTTCTAATGGAGCAGTACATTTTAAAAGCCTAATTATGCTGCAAATACACTTTGCACTCAATAAGTGGGTCCTCTATTCTGCCGCCTGTTCATCACTTCGCTTATTGCAGGCCTCAGATAACATGAGGGATGCTCTGGGAACATCTATTTAAATTATATCTTCAGCTCTTTTTCACAGCTAGGTTTTTAGGTGGAAGATGAAAAAAAAGAGGAGATAAAATTAGAACAAAAGAATACGTCCTGTTGTCCTTAGATGGAGAGAGACAGCATGGGCAAGAGAGATACTTATAAAATGGATTTTGCAGCTGGACATAGTGCTTGTCTATAATCTCAGCAATCTGGGAAGTTGATGATCAAAAGTTCAAGTCTAGCCTGGGCAAATTAGCAACTTAATAACACCTATACCAGGATTAAAGAGGGCAGGAGATGTAGCTCAATACAAGGCCCTGGCTTCAATCTTCAGTACCTCCCTCCCAAAAAAGAAGATGGATTTTGCCATCGATGGCTACCGTTGTTCTCTTTTTAGGGAGAATCTTTGAACTAGACTTTGAGGGCACATGATAGAAGGACCTGGTATGAAATCTGTGGGGCCCAGTGCAAAATGGAGTTGTATGATTCCTTATTCATACGTTATTGAGAATTTCAAGCAAGTAGATGCAGAGCGTTCAAACAAGTATGGAACCTGGTATAACTTCCAAGTCACTTACCAGCTAATGACACATTCAGAGGCAAATGAAAAACAGGTCATCCTTATTGGGTCTTGTTCATCTTGAAGCTGTGATATGTACAGTCACTTTTTATCAGCAGTGATGAAGAATATGCTGCTAGAAGCAATGGATTTCTTCAGCTGTCCATTTTTTACTTAGAAAAACTCTTGAGCCAAAAAATGCAGATGGTTGCAACATTAGGAAATTAATTATCTCACACAGAAATAATAACAAAGAGTCAGAAAATAGGGTGGTCCTAGGGTCGGTTTATCAGTTCATTGGTGTCTTTAAGACTGTGATTATTTCCATCTTTCTCCTCTGCCATCCTTAATGGAATCTAGAATCTGGTCTGACTTGAGACCATCTTTCCGTCATTAAATTTAGGAAAGAAATTTCCTTTTGGACATCCAACAAAAATCCACAAAACCTTCCCACATTCCCTGGAAGGCAAGGACAGGGCTGAAAGGTTATTATCAGAATTTGAGACAGAACAAATAAATCCCTGACAGCCCTCTAGACATCCTTTGAGCTCAAACTCCAAGCAAGAAGCTCAAATCCTGCAGCTGGAGAGCTCCAGATGGGTCTAAAATAATTAAAATAACAGTGTGTGCCAAAGTGGGAAAGAAACTCAGACACTGAACAATACAAAGAAAACATCCCTGGGATGTGTGTACATATGCATCAGTAAAGACCCTGAAACAGCACAAGATAAAGTGGAAAAAAAGAGGAACACGCTTGACAATTTATACACAAGCACTCTTTTTGTAGTTTCCAATTAGTATTTCTCTGCTGTATAAAAAATATGAATTCTTTTCAAATGGAATAATACCAGCTTTCATGAGAATAAACATTTGTGAATCACACTTAAGAATTCACCTTCAGGGCAGTGAGACTCTGAGAACTTCAATGTAGTAATGCTGTGTGATAAAACTCAATGATGTAAACAAATTGATGATTCTTACTGGAGTGATCACCCATCTGACATCATGAATTTTTCTTTAGCCAATGTATGCTTTCTTCCTGCGTACTCTGATGAAATTTGAAGTAGTCACCAAAGAAAGCTAAGTGCACCTTGGGTTCTTCATGAAGAAGAATCAAAGTATGGCAAAGTTTTGCATTGTATAGACATTTTAAACTTTAAAAAAGGAAGTAATTAAGAGTTGAAGTGATATTTTGCATGAATGTCCTCGTGTGTAGAATTAGAGTGACAAAGTTCAGAATGAATTCAAGTATTAGTAGAAGGTTTGTTTTTTATAGCCACGAAAAGCAGCAGTGTATATTTCCTTTGCAGTTCATCCAGCTGGTGTGTGTAAACCTGGGCTGAGGCAGGCGGATCACAAATAAAAGTCCAGTCTGGGCATCTTACTGACTTAGAAAGGCTCTGTCTCAAAATAAAAAATGTAAAAGGCTGAAGGTATATCACAGTGCAGAGCCCTGGGTTTAACTCCCAGCACTACAGAAGCAAAACAATAATTCTCTATGGCTTGGAATTCTTCCCTTGTTCTTACTACAGTTTGAAAGAATCAGAGATTCACTTACTGCAACAATCAAGGTATCCTTTGAACTTGGGTAAAGGTTTAAACTTGGCACACACAGGGCTGATGACAAAAATGATGCTGCTGTTTCTCTGAGTAAAGAGAAGGGCAATGGCCAACTCAAAGGGCCCCTGCCTGCCTGCCTGTCCAGCCACTTGGGAACATTCCCACCTTGGTGTGGTCAACTTACAAGTCCTGGGAAATAGAGGACTGGAGATCAAGAGTTAAAAGATGGAATTTTGAGCAATTTGATATCCTATAGGCATTTTTAAATGGCAGACATATTCTTTCAGTTTAAGCCAGGGCTCCCAGAAAAGCTCAGTTCTTTTTTGGATGGGAGGGCTTACCGAGGAGTTAAACTTAGTCTTTCCAACTGTGGCAGCATCTTTATTCTTGTAATGAGGGCTCTGTATAACCTCACTCATTCCTGTTGGGGCCTTATCTGTTGGGCCTTACTGCTGTGTTTGTCAAGCAGAGATGAGTCTAAGTTCTAGAGGTGAAAAGGGCGTGGTAAGATAACATGAAAGTAACCAAGGAGTCATTTTCATTAGACCACGTATACACAAAATAACTAGCCAGATAAAGCAATAAGTGCCAAACATAACATGAGACATGGATATGACAGGTGCCAAAGCTCCCAAAGAAGAAAAGCAAATAAACTTCTTATGTCTATATCATCTATATCATATCTATATCTATATCTATATATCATCTGTCTATATCTTGGTCCACAAACCTAATTTGTTCTACAATTTTGGAAAACAGCCACATTTGTGGTTTTTGTGGGAAAGATAGCCATGGTCATGTTTGTCACCGATGCAGTTAGTGTTAACGAAAACAAAATTTTGCCAAATGCTTCTGTTTGTGAGCCAAATTGTAAACAAAAGTGTTCGTGAACAGACACTCAGGTGCCAGTGGTACTTCATTTCACCAACTTGATTCTTTCTGTGATTCTGGTCACAAATAGAAATGAATGAGAACTGAATCAAATTCAATGGTTGGGTTTGATGTTGACCTTATGGAGAAATTTGCTTCAGTTCATGGAGAATGCCATTACCCCTTCCCGTCCCCCCCACACACTAAAACAGAACAGAATCGTGGAGAAAATTGAGTTTGTGAACTGAGGTACCATTGAGTATATGTCTTTGTTTGATTGTTTTTATTTTTTACTTAGTTTCATTAACCTTTTCCCCATGAACTTCTCCAAAGAGACACTGAATATGGTTATTTTATCTGGGATCCTTCAGATCACCAAACTTCTTCTTTGATGGAACTTGTTCAAAATCCTTTTGAAACTGAATGACAAAAAGCAGGGAATTTTAGCTGCTCTGCTGACACAAGAATTCAGGGTACATAGTAGGTACTCAATCATTATGTATTGAATAAATGAACAAAATAGTAGCATGGATAATGTGGTAAAGACTGCAAATCACAAAGAGCATTCACGTATGTGTTCTTATTTTGTCCCCACAACAGGCCGATGATGTGGGGAATTATTCTTTCCTTCATCTTGCAAGAAAGGAAGTCAGTGTTTGGTCTGCCTAAAGCAGCTACACTAGTAATTCAGAATTCAGTTAGGATGCAGGTCCAGCCAATCCAGTCCTGGTCCCAGACCTTCTTTCCTAGCCAGGGTATGCATGTAAGGAAGATGTGGGGAAAAGGGTGGGCTGGCCAAACACACATCCCGTTGCTTTGTTTCAGGTGGGTCTCTTCCGCAAGTCAGGAGTGAAGTCTCGAATTCATGCCCTCCGTCAAATGAATGAGAGCTTTCCTGAGAATGTCAGCTATGAAGACCAATCTGCTTACGATGTGGCGGATATGGTGAAGCAGTTCTTCCGGGACCTCCCCGAGCCACTTTTCACCAACAAGCTGAGTGAGACCTTCCTGCACATCTATCAGTGTAAGTGAAAATAACACAGTGAAGTGTTCTTACATACATCCACCTATTTAGAAAAATTCCTGAAGATGAATTTTAACTATGTAAGTAATATATGAATCCATAAAGAAGTACATAAAGGTTATATTCCTACTCTCCTCTGTGAAAGTAACTCTTTTTCACAGTTTGCTATAAAAATGTTGATGATATTTATATTTTCCCTTGGTATTTTTAAGTGATACTAAATCAGTTGTTTTCAGCAAATCCATTATTACTAAATTAGTCATTTTTATTAAATTATTATTTTATTATTATTAAAATAGTCATTGAAAATCACAATTGTTGATTGAAAAACCTATCCTCAAGATAGTTGCAGTGGGAAATGTTAGAAATAAAGCATTATGCACTAGAATATTACTTCTAAATAAAGTTTTATGAAAAATCTAAAACATTTCATCTTTTCCATTAATTTAAAATATTTTCAATTAATTTAAAATGGAAAGGAGACATGACAATTTATTTCATATGCAAATATTTATTAAAAATTATTTTGAAAGTAAGCATTTTCCTAGGATACAGAAATTTCAAAGGCAAACACATGAAAAAAGATGAGACATAACAAAGCACTTGTATTTTAATTGGTAAAAAAGTAGGCAAATCAAATAAAGTGTTTGACTTAATGCAGATAATTTAGTCTCCCTTCAGATTTTTTAAGCAATGGTACTAATTCTCAGAGAAGCTATAATAATTAAAATAGTCATTGAAAATAAGAGGTAGAGAAAGGGAGGAGATAAGAGATGAAAAAGGAATTGAGCTGTACTGTGGACATGCACCAAACTAACACAGGAAAGGTAAACATTTTGTACTGCAAACTCGAACCACAAAAAAAGGGAGATGATCAAGGGATAAGTGGAGGGAGGAAGGAGGGAAGGGAAAGAGGAATTAAAGGAATTAAAATCACTATGTACATGTACCAACTCCGCACAAGAAATGTGAATATTATGTACTGCACACATGCAGTAATAAACTAAAATTTAAAAAAAATAATAATTGCTGGCATAAAACCCTGTTAACATTAGAGTTATGAATTATTCTCATGGCTCAACTCTCGATTCTTTATAAAATTACACTTAGCTTATGGATTTTGATTTTACAGCAAAATGGGGCTGAAATGAGCCATACCATGGCATTAATCCAATTTGAAGTTCCCTGCTATAGAGATTTCTGCAGTAAATGTGTTTGCAAAAAGGGTAACATTGCAAAATCAAAAAGGATTTTAGCTAGTACCACTTGTAAAAACAGAATAAAGTGGCAGCCCATTAAATAAATACTATTTTGCCAAAGTGAATAGGTTAGGTTGAATTAATTATGCACATTGCTAAAGCCCAGACACAGGACATTCATGACAGTGTCACTGTACAAGGCGGAGTCTGCTTCTCTGAAGTATCACACGTGAGTCTTTACATGTAAAAATCAGTTCTTGGGTTGAAGTTGACACTAGTCAAGGCTAAAATGAGACATTTGCCAAGAAATAAATTCCTTCTAGGACTTGCAGCCAAGAAGCCAGATGAAAGCAGAGCTTTATTTTAGCCAAGTGAATGTTTACTGAGAGGGCTTTACATACCTGCACCACTCCGAGCACCGCCAAGTGTGTGGATGTGTGAGACTCACCCTCTGCTCTTCAGGATTTCAAAACTGGGGAGATGAGACGTCCACATAAATGACCATGCTACAACAAAGTTGGAGAAATTCTATAGCAAGGCCATAAAGACAAGTCCAAGAAAGTTGAGATGAGCAGTTGAACTGGATGGAGAAAGGAAAACCTGAAGGCTGAGATACGTAAGGAACATACTCTAGATGAAGCAGACTACACGAGCAGATGTCAGAGGAGTATGGGATATTTGTCTGCCCGCATGGATGGCAAATGTACAATGTAATATCAGATGATGCTGAAAAATTAGGTCTGTGCTATTCAAGGACAGACGTTGAAAATTAGTATAGTGAGCTCGTACTTTATTCATTAAGCACCAGGGAAGCCCTAAGTATTGTGAAAGATTTTACCAGCTATGATGTTTTTACCTGGAAATGCAGAAGCAAAAATCTAACAAGCAACTGTTTAAGTAATAAGAACATTTTATTATCTCATTTGACAATACATTTGGAATGAAACCATTCCATTGTTAGGTAATTCTCCATGTGTTCTCTTAGTGACAAAGGGGAAAATGGGTAAGGATGTTTCAGAATGCTGAAGCCATGGTCACACTTTTCCAGAAATGTGAATTTGCTAGCTGACAGGGCCAGGAGCGTGGCCATTCCTGGGATATGAGATCCTCCTCCAGTGATTCTGCAGCACAGACAGCTGATGGTATTACAGATCCTTTGGGCATCGAGAACCCATCTAGAGCACAGAACACAAATTTCTGTTCTTTGATATAGTGCTACAAGGAGAAAACGTCCCAAGTGTGGCATTATTTATTCTAATAATTTAAGTACACTGTGATATGGTGCACACATTATAAAGTTCACTCAACCAGTATTTTTAAAGAACAAAAGAAAACATAAACACAATTGGAAATTTGAAAGTTTTTCCCAGACCTCAAGGAACTGTCACAAGTGCAGTCCCTGCATACCTCGGGAGTACCTAAACCCTACTGTGGAGACCTCTGCTCAAGAATGTGGCCCTTTAAGAGCGGCAGCAGTATAAACTCAAATGAGCAATTGACTGTGTTCATGAATCAAAGCTAAATGATCATTAAGCAAACACATGGACAGGAAGCAGCAAAACGTAGCATCTAACAGAACTTTTTATGATTTTTTCCATTTAAGTCACACATAATGTTGGGCTAGTTCCTTTTTACTCCTGTATAACCAGTACCCCCGGGCTCCCAGCCAACTGCCAGGACTACCCTCAAAGGAAATAGGACCAAATAGGGCCTTATATTCCCCCTGACCTTAGGGAGCGTGGCTCCCTTCCTTAAAGACAAATTCAGTATCCATAACCCCGGAGATTATGGAATAGATGGCTTTGAATCGCCATGCAGACTCCATTGAGTGCATCATCTGAGCCAAGGCCTGGTGACTTTTAGGAACAAAGAAGATACACCAGGCTCATCATGGAGGTCCGGGGCCCTAGGAATGCTCAGAGGCAGCCCACTGGACTTTGCCACTCATTGCTAATTGTGCCACCCTAGCATTGTGGCCAGGCTACTTCCATAGGGCTGGGGACAGACCAGGCTGTTGACTTCTTAGCTAGTGGTTTTCAAATTGTGTCCCTCAGAGCCTTTGGTGCCCTAGGAGATCTTTTCAAACTGTCTGGTAAGGAGGCTGGGCAAGAGAGAGGGCAGGGTGACCCTTTCCCAGCCTAATCCAACACCAACTTACACCAGGATAGAAAAATGATCTGGCAGCAGAGGAATAGGCTAACTTTTCAGAGAGGATGTAACAAGCCAGGACAATGGCATTACCAAGTATTACCAGCTCACTCAGACTGCTGGTTCCCGTGTTCCTCTATTAGGATTTGAATTCCTATTCTGCTTCCCACTAGCTGTGAGATCTAAGCAGTGATCTCTCTCAGTGTGTCGGCTGTCATAGTTGTTGTCGATGTCTTTGAGTATCTCCATGTCAGGAAGTGGACTTTATGCGCCCTCTCTCTGGCTCTTTCTGCAGCTGTCCCTCTAACCACCTGGATGCTCTTGTCTCCGCAGTTGTCCCCAAAGAACAGCGGCTGCAGGCGGTGCAGGCTGCCATCCTGCTGCTGGAAGATGAAAACAGGGATGTCCTGCAGACACTCCTGTGCTTCCTAAATGACGTTGTCAACCTGGTGGAAGAGAATCAGATGACTCCCATGAACTTGGCCGTGTGTCTAGCCCCCTCCCTTTTTCATCTTAATTTATTGAAGAAAGAAAGCTCTCCGAAGTGAGTTTCTTTTTCAGCAATTGCAATAACCTTCAAACAGACCTCCCCTACAGTTCATAAAAAAAATAAATAAACAAAATGGCTCCCATGCTAGATTTCTACTTGGGGATTTGTCAGCTCTCATTTGATAATCAGATCATGTTCGGAAGCGACCTCATTCATGGTACACAGGTTCATAGAATTATCAAGGGAGCCCTGGAGAATGTCACTTGTAATCCAGAAAGCTTGAAGAGTTTGTTTTGTCTTATGAGTATGAGTAGGAAGGAGGGAAAAGGTACAGGAAGTGGTGTTTTTACAATCTTTAATTTTTAAAAGTTATATTTAAAAACAAAGCACAGGACTTTGCAGTTGAGTGGTTTCAATCCTTGCAAAAAAAATAGATTAACCTCTCTCCCCAGCACATCAACAATTCCTTCTCTCCTTGTATTTTTCCAGGGCTTTTAGTTGTGAACTAGCAGACTGTTAGCCTGTTTCAGAATATCTAAGATGTATGGTCATTGTTTTTATTTGGAAATGAAGAAGCCTGGGATCTGGATAGCATCTGGGGAGGAACAGAAAATAAAAGAGATAGGCTCGGGATTGTGAAAAGCTCTTTGGTTTGGGATCTGCTTAGCACACTCACATTCAATTACAGAGTCATCCAGAAGAAATATGCCACTGGGAAACCAGATCAAAAGGACCTCAATGAGAATCTGGCAGCAGCTCAGGGGCTTGCCCACATGATCATGGAATGCAACAAACTTTTTGAGGTACGCAAAAGCTCAACCCGCCTTCCTTATAACTCTTGGAACTAGATAAGACACTTGAAATGGTGGGTACATTTATGGTTTATTTGTTCCTGGTTTTATGGTGACAAGAGTACGCTCTATAGCTCTGGCCCTAGCCTCCAAGAAATGTAAGGGGCTCGCTACACTATGGAGGCTTTGATAGGTAAAAGGACTTTTGAGGTCACCACAGGGGTGGTTTGCATGCAAACAGTTGCATCACCTGCATTTGCTAGATTCAAGGCCAATCATTCAATTATGTTCTGCTGTAGTTGATTTTATCTTGGGACTTGATTAGATTCCACATCTGTCCTTGTGTGCGTGCGTGAGTGTGTGTATGCTTCTAAGTAATCCCTGTTACTAAGAAACAGTGACACTTTATCAGTGACAGATATGTTAAGGAAGTCAATGAACAAGATTTCTGGCAGCCTTTGTGAGCTAAACTGGAGCTTGTCAGTGGGAAAAGTGTGCTAAAAAGGTGAAGCTATTTCTAAGTCATATTTGATGTTTCTTTTAACAAGTCTATGTGCATTAAGTCTGTTCACATTGAGTCAAGTTCTCTGACCCCACATTTTGCCAAACTGAATAAAAACAAACCAAAGGAAAATGGAAAGAATGAGCAGGAAGTCATTGAAATGTTTTCAATAATAAAAATAGCCTCAGAAACATATTTGTATTTCCTGACTTTAGGAAGGCCCCTCCCAACCTTGGCACTGATCTTAGTAAAACATCTCCAGCCCTGTGGCCCTCAGCCTGTCGATCAGACCTTGATTGTTGACAGAACGACTTTGCTTCCTCTAAATATTCATCTCCGAATTTCTTTAGCTCAATGTGTTGCTGTTTTGTACATCTTTTGATTCAGGTCCCACATGAGATGGTGGCCCAATCCCGTAATTCATATGTAGAAGCTGAAATACATGTGCCTACCCTGGAGGACTTGGGGGCACAGCTGGAGGAGAGTGGAGCGACTTTCCACACTTACCTGGAGCATCTCATTCAAGGCCTCCAGAAAGAAATCAAGGAGAAGTTCAAAGGATGGGTCACATGCTCCAGCCCTGACAACACAGACCTGGCTTTCAAAAAGGTAACAAAGCCACATCCAACTATCAGGGATTTGTTTTCAGTTCCAAAATAGCTGCTTGTCCACACTAAAGTACATGCACCAAAAGTCCTTTCTGGAGACTACCAAGGAGCCCTTTTGCATTTAATCAGAATCCAGACTTTGGATTTAGACTCCAGACCCTGCTCCTGGCTTTGCATGTCAGCTGGGCAAGTCAGTGCCTCAGTTTTCTCATTTGCAGAGATGGACATTTGCAAAAATGTCCCATGGTTCAAAAAGGGCCATTTATAAGTGAACGGGCTGGAACACTGCCTGGCACACTGTGTACATTCTGTTGGTGATGAGTACTTTGGTTATCGTTATTATCATCTGAAATTTAAGGATTAGCAGGGTTGGGCTGGGGATTTAGCTCAGCAGCATAAGCACCTGCCTTGCAAGCAGGCAGTTGTGAGTTCGATCCCTGGTACCGATAAAAACGAAAAAGACAAAAAAGACAAAAAAAAAAAAAAAAAAAGGATTAGCAGGGTGTGTAGCATCCCTCCTCCAATTTACATATCCAGAAACATCAGGTACGGTAGGGTAGGCATTGGTAGGACCTGGGTGACTGCATTCTCCAGCCTCTGTTGCTGTCCCTCCCAAGGTGGGGGACGGGAACCCGCTGAAGCTGTGGAAGGCTGCTGTGGAGGTGGAGGCACCCCCGGCCGTGGTGCTGAACCGCGTGCTGAGAGAGCGCCACCTGTGGGACGAGGACTTCGTGCAGTGGAAGGTGGTGGAAACCCTGGACAGACAGACCGAAATCTACCAGTACGTGCTGAACAGCATGGCCCCCCATCCTTCCAGAGACTTCGTGGTTCTCAGGTAAGCCCAACTGCAGCTGCAGATTCAAGCACTTCTAGAAGTCCTCGACCCACCCTCCTCGGGGCCACTCAGCCTGCACCCCTTTCCCTTCCAGAAACCTGACTTCCTGCTGTTTCACCCACTTTACGACCCTTCTTGGCTGGTTCTTGACCCCTCTCCTTGTGGAGTATGCAATTTATTAGGCCATAAATATTGTTCATTTTCTTAGAACTGAGGCCCCACAATAACTGCCGTGGGTCTAGCTGCACTTTCTGCCAATTACGCAAATCAAATCTAATTGGCGTTTCCCCTGACTTTGCCTTTCTCCCCCAGGAAGGTATGTCTTCGTTTTGTGAAATTCTAAGATTGGCATGTGTGTAATTTCAAACCCATCTGTATAGCTAATTACTGTGTGCAAATCTTGGCGCAGCCCCGCAAGTTCAAATATGCTGAGACACTGGACGTGCAATCTGATTTCAGGGCCTGGCAAAGTTTCCTGAGTCTTGTGTCTACCATTGAAATATTATTGCTGATTGATTTGTGGGTTGAGTCTCAGACCTCTGTTTGCTGAGCTGAAAATGGACGATCAGCCGATAACAGAAAGGTTGCACAGTAGAAATACAGTATTTCATCAGAAAAAATACCAGGAATTGAGGATATTAAAGAATGTAATTAGATCAATATATCCTTTTTATTAAAAAACCTAAACAAACCCTTTCTCTTCCCACAGATCAGCAGTGTAAAAGGAATTACTAAGGAAATCCCCAAGTGTATATTTGAAATAGTTTCTTTATGAAACTTGTTTGATGGCAAAGTAAAGGTTACTGTTTATGTGAGTCCTTGATGCCTTTGGTATTGCTTCTTGGAACCTCGACTTTTAAGGGTCTGTTTTCCCTAAATGTATGTATGTATCCAAGCAACCTTGGAATGCGGGTGAAGAATGTGGGCAGTTATAAAGGTAGCTTATTACCACAGTTATTGAGACATTAGTCATCTTGTGGAGTTCAATTTCACACCATGACTCTTACAAGCAGAAAACTGAGTAGCTGCCAAGGAAGGTAGCTGTAGGAATGGGCACTTGCTGTGATGGGCCTGTTCTTTCCCTCTAGAGGAGGCTGAGAGGGAGTCCCGGCATGGAACCTCCCTCACTCCATCTGTACAGAAATCCAACCATCCTCCCATTTGTTGGTGTATTAATCCATCGTGCTTTATGACAGGCTCTGTTACAAGCTCTGAGGATGCCCTGGTAAACGCAACAGACTGATTCTGATCTCTTAGGGTTTGTATTTTACTGGGGAGAGTTGATAAATAATAATAAAAGCAGATCAGCTTACTTGACCCAAAGAGAATAAGTAAAGTAGGGAGACAGTAAGGATGGAATTTTAAATACAGTGGTGGGGGCAAAGCCTTGCTGCACTGATGTCTACAGCAAGACCCGAAGGAAAAAGTTAGCGACCACTGTGTGAGGGAGTTTGATACTTAAGAGGATTTGCCAGCAGTGTACCAAACAGACCTAATCCTCCATGGAAAATCCTCGTGTTTATCACACAAGAAGGTGACAGTGACAGTTGTAGAAGGAGAGTCATAGGACAGAGAGCCATCCTGTCATTGTAGCGTCACTCTATCCAGGCTGGTGCCTGTGAGGCCAGTCACATTTTAGGATTACCACATTTACCTCTCATGTTATATTGGTCTCAGGAGCTCCCAATGTGAGTTGCTGGAGATCTTCCCATCTTAACCCTGTGGATCTTGAAAGCCACCAGTATTTAGTTTATGGTTCTGGAAGCAAGAAGACCAAGAATATGGCCCTAGTATCTGGCAAGACCTTTTTTACTCGGTCACAACATGGCAAAAGGTATCACATGGGAAGGTAGAGCTGGAGAGAATGTGCCTCTGTGACAAAGCCACTCCCTGAGTAACTCATTAATTCACAAATAGATTAATCTGTTCATTAGAGCAGAGTGCACATAAGCAAACAATCAAAGTCCCAATTTTCAACACTATTGCATTGGATGTCACATTCTCAACACATAAAATTTGAGAAACATATTCAAAGGATAACACTGTATGTATATAGTAGTCTTTCCCCCTAATGTGGTAAGACAGGGGAGTCATAGAGGAGACCGCTTAATGAAGAAACAGAATTGTGAAGTGAATACTTGGAATCATAAGATCCAAGTATGACCCCTTGGTGTCAAAGGGGAAGTCAGATGACTCTGTTTACTACCTTTTCCCAAGTGGTAGCTCCTCAATGCTTGAATAGCTGTGGTATCAGGGATTCAGTGCCTCCCCAAGGCAGCCACTCTGTATATCGAGCATACACTTAGCTCTTCACGATGTGACAAAATGTACTTTTCTGCCTCTGCATTCTAGAGTCGAATCAACCGTATTTGTTTCTTCTCTTATTGAAGAGCCATTCAGTATCTGAAAATAACTATCAGGTCCACTTAGGTTTAGTTTTCTTCAAACTAGGCATCACCAGATCATTTATTTATTAATACGTGAATCACCTCCTTCAGACCCTTCCCTGTATTCCTCTCCTGCTCTCTCTGTGTGACCCCAGACGCCTCTGTGTATAACTGTTATTTAACCCCAATGATTTTGGAGTTCTTGGTAGAGTTCTTCTCTTCCTCAACTGGGTATCTTCAAATCTTGGTGGTTCTGAGTCTGGCACATGAATGTGCTCTTGGGAAAATGGAAGAATTAAGTGAATGAGTGCTGATACCTAGACTGTAGAGTCACCTCTTCAGTAATGAACAGGAGCTTCCAGAGCACAGCAGCACGGGGCCCCAGTCTGGGGTTCCAAATGCAGATCTGAAAGCTGTAAGACTATTTCTGGCCTCTGAGTCTGAGCGCTTCAATCCTTGCTTTGAAATGTACTGTATAAACTTTCACACATTTATGGAAACCATTAGCCTAACCCAAGTACCTGGCATTGGAATTTGAGCCCGGGATTTTGACAGGAAGGTGTAAATGTGACCTCGGCTCTGTGTTCAAGTTTTTCTTTCTCCTTTGGCCATTACACTCTTGCACGGCTTGTTTCGTCTCAGGACCTGGAAGACGGACCTGCCCAAAGGCATGTGCACCCTAGTGTCCCTCTCTGTGGAGCACGAGGAAGCCCAGCTCATGGGTGGTGTGCGAGCGGTGGTGATGGATTCTCAGTACCTGATAGAGCCTTGTGGCTCTGGCAAGTCCCGACTGACCCACATCTGCAGGATGGACTTGAAGTAAGTAGCACCTCCTGAGCCCCAAGGTCCAGGTCCCCTGTGCCACATTCACCACGACAATGTCTGTCATCTGGATTTCTTACTTTCCTATATTTTTTCACTGCTATCAACAGGTTTGCATGGATGTTTACAAATTCCTGCTTTCCCTCCTTTTTCCTAAAATCCCACCTTTCTCCTCCAGCCCCTTGCTCTTTTTTTGTTTTCTTTTTTCTAATTTATTTATTAACTTTTCTTGATAAGCAAAAAATGTGTATATTTATGGTATATATGATGTGTTAGTATGTGTGTATATTATGAAATCTCCAAATCTATGGCATGCCCATTGTTTCATATCCTTATTTTTGGTATGAGAGTACTTATAATACAAGAATACAATATACTATTTCTAACTATAGTGGCCATGTTGTGCAGTAGCTATTGTGAGTTTATTATTCCAATCTAATTGAAATCTTGTATCCTGTGAGCAACATCTATCTCCCCAGTGCCCACCACATCCCAGACTCTGGTAACCACCATTCTACCCTCTACGGGGTGAGCTCTACATTTATAAGCTCCATTTATAAATGAGAACAAGCTATATTTGTCATTCTGTGCTGACTTATTTTTTTAACATGCTATCCTCCAGATTCATTCATATTGTCACAAATGACAGGACCGCTTCTTTTTAAGACCAAGTGTTATTCTATTGCCACGTTTTCTTTACCCATCCATCCACCATCGGACACAGGTTGATTCTAAATTTTGCTGTTCTCACTGATTATTGTGGGGCTTTTTTAAGAAGAAACTAACTTAAATCCAGCTCCTTCCAGGCATTGACAATGCTAATCTGAGTTCTTGATCTTGGTAGATATAAATTTAGTATTCTCGGTAAAATTTAGATTCAGTGTGAATCTCCTCATTTTGCCTGGGGAGTTGGTATCATCTTAAAGCACCTGAGGAACACGGGGAAGGCAGGCTGAATGGTGAGCAGCCACGACATTGTCAAGGCACATGTGGACAGCATGAGGTCCTCTGATCCTCAAGGCAGCAACCCCAAATTGTTTGCAAGCATGCTGGTGGCCAGAACCCAACGACCATCCTGGTCTCCCTGACAGATACTGTGACCTGTAAAAATACTCTCCCACTCCCTTCTTGATTTCTTTCCCTGCAGAGGTCATTCTCCAGAATGGTACAGCAAATGCTTTGGACATCTTTGTGCTTCAGAAGTTGCCAGGATTAGAAACTCTTTCCAGCCTCTCATTGCTGAGGGTCCAGAAACTAAAATCTGAGTTGTCCCCAGTGTGACATCCAACTCAGGGAACAAGAAACTGAAACGAATGCTGTGGCAGAGGATGTGTGTGTGAGAAAGCAGGAGAGGCCCTGATGGACGTGGCTTGTGCTTAAAAATGGAAACACTGAGAAGTTGAAATGCTGAAAATGCAGAACTTTTCTGAGAACTTTTCTAGCCGTCCTGGAGATGGCTGCATCCCTAGTAATATAATATTTTTCAAAACTAGAATATTAATCTATATTAGTTAAAATTAAATGGATTATTCCTGTGCATTGCCTAATTTACTATTTAAAGGCTTCTAAGAAGCATATTCTTAACTGTAAATAAATATGTGTGTAGCATATGTACATATATATGTATATCTATCTTTACTGTATATGTGTAAAATACCGATTTTATAGATAGAGTGTCTGACTAGTGAGGCTCTTCCTCACACAGTTCTTGCCAAGATGTTTTGGACTCCATCTCCCCACTGTCCTGTAAGCTGAGAAGAGCCTTCTGCTAACACCAAGGTGTGAACATGGATAGTCTGCGGTCTGTCCTGATGTCCAACCAAAGGCTAGATAACCAAAGTAGCATTAAAAGGTTCTTACGCGTTTTAGTAGTTTGCTTCTTTGTTTAGTAACTGAGCATGGAGTATTGGGGAAACTCAAAAGGAAAGAATGTTTACGCCCCTTTACAGCAAAACAGTGAGTGAGAAGTTACTGCCAAATTTAAAGCTTGATTGCAAAGCTGCCATTGGGTCTTGCAAATGCAATCTCAGTTAGATGTCAGATGGACTGAAACAACCAGTTTCCCTCCAGGTAGGACTGGATATCAGAGCCTTTGCATAGTCACAGCCAAAGGGAACCACTGTGTTGTCTCAAATTTTCATACATACTTTTTATAATGCTAATAAATGTTCTACTATTTGACCAGTGGCCTATGTATGTGGTCACAGATAATTGGCATTTTCTTACCAATGTCTTGCACTGAATTTGAATCCAGACACCAGACAAAAAGAAATGATGGTCCTGTAAGAGTCTTGGACCACTGTAGCTTCAGGGAATTCATATTGTGCTGTATATGATGCTCTTAAAGTATAATTCATTCAAACCTGACAGTATGAAAGACAGGATTTTTAACTAACATAAGACCAAAACTGTATTCTTTAGTTTTAGAAAATATAAACAGATATATTAATCCTATGTCTCTTCATTAGCTACCTATCCATTTGATCCCACCTTATTTATTATTGTATAGGCTAAGCAAATTGATTTTCCTTAACCAATTGTCAATGAATTTAAGTTGGTTTTTATTGTAATTCAACTCTTGTACAGAAAAAAATAACTTATTGTACCTGGATTTAAAGACAGAAATTCTCTTTGATTGTCCATAACAGAGACTGATATCATGGTTTAGCAACTGATATTGGAAGGAAAAAAGTGTTCATTCTTTTTGTATAGTATGCATTGATGTAATGTTTTATCAAAAAAAGTGCAATTGTTTTGTTGAGAGGAATATGCTATCTATGAGTTTGATATGGTGCAAGAAAAGTCATACTAGGAATTCTTCATTTCGATTCTTCCTAAGAAGACAGCAGCGAACTCCTACCTTACCATTCAACTCCGTCCAGAAATTCATTTCTGCCATCACATCTTAAATTAACCAAATTAATTAATTATTAAGTAATAATACCAGATTACTTGTTAAGCATTGACATGATGCTTACTGAAGTTTAATCTAGCTAAGCACTGGTCCCACTCCAGAGATGGGACATTATGTATGTAAGACATAGAATAGGCCCACAGGGTGAACTGCGCTGTGTCACACGGCTCAGGCTCCTCCAACTTCAGGGTGCACAGGAGTCCCCTGGGAATTGTGCTAATGTGCCCGCTCTGATTTCGGCTGCCTACAGTGGGCCTGACCCTCTGCATTTCTCATGAGTCTCAGGGATGCCCATGCTGCTAACCACAAGGACACACTGAGAAACGAAGACCCAGAGGACACTTAAAACAGAATAAAAATACGACTATATATCTGACTCCCCTCTCTTCCCATTACCTGACTTTGATTTTATGCATATACTAATCACCTTACTGCTGCTTAATAACATGGTGCATCTTTAAAATAAAGGGAGGAACAAAAGAAGAAAGAGATGCATCAGCTTATTTGTCAAATACCATAGTATTTTACTCATTGTTATCTTGCCAATGGAAATAAAATATGATATTGCATTTAAATATTCTATTTATACCTCATGTATATTTTACCTCAATTGTTGGTATCAATCATCAATTGTAAATAAGTAATTGCCAAGGTAAATAAATTTATATACATTAAATATTTCTTATTTTCGATAAAACACGTTTATTTTCATGCTTTATTCTAAAAATGAAAAACCTGCTTTGTGATGAAGTTTTCTCTTGAAGTGTGCCACCAATCCTTCATACTATGAATATTGACTATCATGTTGGCCCCAAAATACAAGGGCGGTGTTATCAATTGACGTTCACTAGCAGATTACATGTTAACTAATCTCTGCCTAAGGTGTTGAAGTGATAGATAGGAATTCTAAGTATATTTCATTGTTTTTAAATCTGAAAAGCTTTAAAACACATTTACAGTACTATCAAATATTTAGTTAACTCTTTGGCTACATTTTAGTTTTGTCGAGTGGACAAGAAATGGAGACTTGGTAAAATGATTGGCAGCTGTGCGCAAGGCCACAGAGAGCAGCCACAGATGATTCTGTGCTTCTGGCCTTGTCTTTGTACCCCCTTAGGCTGCAAAACAACAAAGACACTCCTTCACTAAACAACCAGCCACCCTCAGATACTCTCAACTATAGATTTCAAAAGCCACCGCTGCCCCAAAGACCGCATGATCCCGGCTCCACCGTCTGTTCACCTCGTGCGTGCCTTTTGGTGCTTGAAAGTTTTGCTTTTACAGATAAAGAAGGAATTCAAGGCACCCTTTCTTCTTCTGTGCCAAAGAGAATGTGGTGATCATTCTACCAACTATGGGCTACAAGTTTTTCCCCTAAAGGGTGAACCATGTGAATGCAAAATTAACCCTTCGTTATGAATTCTTAGACGTGTAACTGGTTTTTTAACAGGTGGTCACAGGAAAAAAAAAAAAACAGTCATGTGACTTCTAAGGAAAATATTTTAAAGGAATAAAAAAGATTCCAGCCAAGTGTAGGGTCACACACTATTACAAAAGAAAAATCACTGGATGTTAACACGAGTGGATAGATAAATACCTGACACTATAGAAATTGTAGGGTTGGAAAGTCATCAGATGTGAATAACAGCTAATGTGCAACTTGTGGCATTTCTTAGGTAGGTTACAACCTTTAAGATCTGTGTGTAGTCCCATTCTGATAATCTCTTGTATCAGGCCGCCTCATAACTCCTAGCCAACATCCTACTTGTGAAGAGACAACTCGAAGACTGCAGTGTGAAGCCAGAAGGCCCACATAAGCATTTATTCAAGCACACATTCATTAAAGAATTCAAGTGGCACTGGCAGGCACAGGCACTGACACAAAGGAGACATGCTGTACAGTAGAAACTCACATTCAGCTGCTTCTCATTATTCATGGTAGTTATGCTCTATAAAGTCTGCAAATGCTGAGCCGGTAAGTTCTGAATGATTGTTCCTCAGGGAAGTGAAAAGTTCAGTTCCTGTTAACCTCTGATCACATTTTTGTCAACCTTTCAATATAAAACTTTCTTTTATTGTGTTTCTGTATAAAGACACATTGCTTAATATATATCTTGCAAATTAATTACAAGCAGTATTTCTTTATAAGAAAAGTCTACCCATGAAAAGTTGAATGTTTTCCTCACACTGGACAATGTGATTGTAAACTTCATGTTCTTTTTAATATATTTTTTACAAACCAGTTTTGTCATCTCATGAATCCACAAATTTAGTTCTTTTTCTATTTTTTACATAGTTTTATAACCTGTAAATGTGACTTCAGTGCTTTCTGGAGCAGCATTACTTACAACTCAGTGAGTTACCTCTTCCTTTTCCTGAATGTGCCATATTATTGATTTGTTAACTTGAACTCTTGGCCAACAGTGCTCTAATTCTGGCCCGAACAAAGCTTGTGTACTGCACATATTTTATCTGTAAGGCACAGCCTAGACTTCTTGTACTTAGGAGCACATTAGCCATTGTAAACACTTAAATAATCACTGAAAAGCACAAAAATGGGAAACTATGGTGCTAGAGAATAAAAGGACATGTGTGTTTGCAGTGTGAGAGCTAAAACAGGAAGCACACCATCCTATTTGGTCAGCCTCAACCGGAAATGTGAATGTGGCTGATTCCAATTTTTTGACCTTCTATCAATGTCCACAAATGACCAGGAAGGCATTGCTAACTTTGATTTTGGGATTACAAATAAACTTCATCAAGTAAGTGAATAGACTTAGATAGAATCCACAAATGGGATTGTAGGATGGATTACAGATACAGTACCCAGTGGTAGGTCACCATGAAGTCTGTGATGATCCAGAGGCAGCTGTAATGCTGAAGAAGAGTCAGAGGACAGGAAATCTCACCTGCTTCAGAATAGTTTGAATGCTAATGAGCAAATAGGAGCCAAGAAACTCAGAAGTTAAGCCCCATCTACTGCAGTGATAAAGACCTAAAATAGGGAGCAGGTGTCAAGATGTGAAGCTGCACCTGTCTCTGGCTGTGTTCTTTACCCCTGTGGTTTCTGTGTTAGTATCATAATTTCTCACGCCATGCCTTCCGGAGCTGATACTAATCCATGATAATCTGCCTTTCCCTTCATTTTCGTGCATGCCATTTTTATTTATTCCCTATTTGATGTGGTGTACTTATGTAAATTGACACTTTCCTTTAATCAACATCAGAGAAGATATTTTCCAAGATAATACCCTTAATGCCAAGACCAGGGATCACCAGCTCTGGGTTATATACCATATGAGAGTGCTAAGTGCCTGTGAGGCAAGGGTACTCGTGACTTTACAAGGACACACTTCAATTCAGCAAGAAAGGTAACATGGCCAGGTTCACTCCTTTTCATGTTATGTTGCCCACCGCTTATCACAGGAGATAGGCAGGCCCTGAGGATGGGTAGGCTGTGAACCTGGACCATATCTTCAGTGCCGAAAGAGGGCTTTAATTTGTGTAAATTGAGTGTGAGCCATCTTTTTGCCTCTATCCACAACCCAGCACAACCAAGATGTGGAACTAGGATCTCATATGGGTTAGACTGGAGTCTCTTTCTGGTTACCCCAGAACCCTGTTGATGCTTGGCGATCCAAGTGGACTACCTTTATGGTTAGGATGAGCTGGCATGGTAAAGCAGAATGACAGCAGGAATCCAAGTAGAAGGGTGATGTAACAACACAGACAAAAATTGTTTGCAGAGAAATAAGTGGGTACATTTTCAAGGATATTTCTGGGCTAGAACTAAAGAAACGTATTAGTGGTTGAAGAAGGGGAGAGAAAAGGAGTTAGCTCACAATGACTCTGAGTTTTGTAACAATTTGTGTGTGATTAAGGGGATTAAGAGGGATTAAGAAGAGGAAGAGTAGCTTTGAGGTTGGCAACTGGGAAGGAGGACGGACAAGGGAGCCCAGCTCACAGAGTAGTTGTGAGAAGCCACCCAAGTGGAGGTGCCAACACAATCAACCATTGTTTTAGGGTGTGTCTTTGAAGAGGTGCCTTAGTTACTTTTCTCTCATTGCAGACACAAAAGACCAGACACCTAAGTAAAAGGAGAAAAGATTTTATTTAGCTCACCGTTTGTGGAGGTTTTAGTCCATAATCAGCTGGCTCCAAAGCAAGGTGGCATGGCACAGGGGCCACTGTTCATGGCAGCGGAGGACAGCAAAAGTAGCAAGAGTGAAAGGGGGAACGAACTTCTTTTCCTCCCTTATACTGTAAGCAGACTCTACTCCCCCACAGGGTGGGTGTAGCTCTTAGTGGCTTAAACTTCTAAACTTCTCAAGTTGACACAATGCACCAACCATTACAGAGGATTTCTCCTGCAATTTAACATTTGAATCCACAGAGTGAATAAAATAGACTGCCCTCTACAGAGTGGTTGGGCACTCTAGCTCTTGAAGTCTTGACCACAACAAAAGGTAGAAAAAGAAAAAATTTGCTGCCTTTCTCCTTCCCTCATTGCTTGAGCAGATACATCTCATGTCATCGTGCCCTGCTGGAACTGGGATTCACATCAGTAGCTCTCAGCTCTGAGTCCTAACTGAATGATGTCATGTATTTTCCTGGGGCTCCAACCTACAGATTGGAGCCTCCATAGTCTAATAGGTTAATGTACCATAATAAATCTCTATATGTATAATATTTACACAAGATATTTTATAAGTTACATATACTGTAATTTCATATCTAATAATTATAAAATATATGTAGTAACATTCTGTGATAGATAGATACATAGATAGATAGATGATAGATATTCTCCTACTGGTTCTGAATCCCTAAAGAATCCAAACAAGTCCTGAAACTCAAAAGCATGACCAGTGTCCAAGATTGGAGATGTGTCCCTTGGTTCACTAGAGTAATGTCAATTCTCTACCTCTTGACAGTTCTTGTAATGGTCCCACTCTTTGACCTCTCTGTGACTTTTCACTAATTTTTCCCCCCTCATTGATCACTGACAGCCTACTTATCCGTAAAAGCCCAGTTAAGAATCATTTCCTCCATAGATTTTCCTTACCACCCCTCTCAAATTCATCTCTCTCTTTTTTTTCCTTCCTCTTTTACTATCTGAATGAGATAAATTATTAATTAATTTGCTGAGCACCTACCTAAAAAGAAGAAACAGAGCAACCTGGACAAATGAATGCTCTGAACACTGTACACAGTGATACATGACAGTCATACTTTCTCAATCAGGCAGAAGGGAAGGATAACAGCGATGCTGCATAAATATTAGAAATCTGCGTGTCTCAGACTGCAACATTTAATTTTTGTGCCTAAATGATACTAGAGCAAGCCTCTAGTTATTTGCTTCCCAGAAGGTAGCACATTTTAGAAGATCCCAGATGCACTGGGACTTATACCATTGCTCAGCTCTAAGGTCGTCATCACCCCCATACACCTGTCTTGCTGCCAATGACTCTGTCAACCCAGCCTCTGACTGAGCACAGCTCTGCTCTGTTCATGCCACATGGACACCTAACCAGGCCTAGGGGAGGCTCCATTGTACATTTGAGACCTAACAGTGGAGCCAGTCTTCTCACAACATAGTTGATACCCTGCTGTCACTAGTGATAAGACTTGGATTACACTTCTGTGAAAGGTTTCTGCCCTGGTATAAATTCCTGGACATGGTGGTAGTGGTCTAAC